CCTATTGCAATAAAACGGCAATTTCATACTTTAACCCCTAATATATATATGTATTTATAGCTATCTTTGTTATAATGCGGTTTGCGCGCCAATTTTCGTAAGATCATTAATCAGGCCGAGCTTTACAACCGCGCGGCGGCCGCCGCGGACTCCGCTCGACGACCGCGATGAAATTCGTGTCAAAAAATGCGCCCATTTCACAATTAATAGGCGCATTTAGCGCTCTTACGTGCGACAGTAATTTCGCTACGTATGGCGAGAAATAACCAATGTAAATTTTACGTGACATAAAATGGAGTAAGCAGAAATTTCGTCTATTCCACCAATTGGGTGATCGCCTGTGGTTTGATAAAATAATCACATAGCGCCTTCGTCGAAATCCATATCGCACCAAGAAGTAACTCGCTATGCAGTCTAACATTTCGCATTTTTTAGTCGGCAGAGTACTGAAATACAATCTCAAGGTAAAGGCATACAAGCGTAGGAAAGTTCACTTCCTAAATTATCGACTTCGTAATTTTATACGCGACTGTTGTCCGATGCTTTTTAAAAGACAAAATGCGAAAAAGATACTCTTCTCCGACGAAAAAATTGTGGAAGTCAAGTTCAACCGATAGAACAATAAAGTTTATGCCAAAAGTAGCAAAGATGTTCCAGCTCCAGCAAAATGTTCGTGTAGGTACCCATTATCCGGCGAATGTGACGGTATGGTGGCGGATTCCGATTGAAGATGTCACTCCGCTCCAATTTAGCTAACAAGACGTCAAGTTGAAACCAAAAAATTATCAGTGACATTTTACATGTTCTGGTAAAACAAAGAATGGATTCTATTCCATCAATTTTCCGCACCAGCCTATAAGGCTAAAACGTCTCAAGCTTGGTTAAGAGAAAATTTGCCGGGCTTCATTGCGGCGGAAGTATGGCCACCCTCCAGTCTTGATCTTAACCTTGACTTGACTATTCTCTGTGGACTGAATTGGAGTTCAGGGCCTGCCAAAAGTCCCACCCAAACTTGCGATTCTCTAAAGCGGACCCTCATCAAACAAGCGAACCGAATAGCACTGGAGAAGGTTCGTGTCGCGATCCAAGTTTGGCCAGAACGTCTAAAATCCCAAATTAGGATAGAGGCGGTCATTTTGAGTTGTAATTGCTTGTACTTGTTGATTGGTGTCTACTTATCATTTTATAACTTACTTAAATCTTTAAATTTTTATGTAACTTATTTCGTCTCAAAACTTATGAACACGCGAGGTAGAAAGATGTAACAAAGTTTTACGTACCTGTTAATGACCCAGGTAGTTTATATTGAAAAGGTAGTTATAACCCCCGAGACAATCCAAGACATCTAAAAACTTGAAATGTGACCACGCTATTTATTGAGCCCTGATAAGTATTCTTGTTTAAAGGGCAAGGTGAGCTACGGTTACGTGCCTCTTATGGGCAAGGATGGGACGTTCTATAAAAAGCATGGGCTATTCTGCTTCATGCCCCAAAATTTCCCTGATGCTGTAAACCACGTAAGTTACTATTTACTATAGGTGCTTTTTCATGACATTGTTTTATTTTTCACATAACAAACCCGAAACGAACCTACCTAGTCATTTTGCCTTGAGAATCTAGTGAAAAGTGACTAAATATACTTAATACACTCTATATTGTAAGTCAATGACTATATGCCAATATTTTCACTCTTAACTTCTGAACAAACGAATGATTGGCTGTTATATACGACAATCTGACTGTGCAATATCTAGTTTCCAATACAAAACACCTGCTTGTCTTGTCCTACGAGGCAACGCAACACACTTAACACGTCTTATTAAAGTCGATAGTATTATAGGTTCTTTGTTAACTTTGAGCGAGATTAAACGTCAAGATTGACTTTTGACATTGTACCGTCAAAGTATTAAGCAGTGTTGTGGAAGAATAGTAGTGAAAAAGGATGTAAACCTGATCTAACCTTCAGTGATTATTTAATGATATAGTTATTTTCCACGTGGAAATTTAATTAAAACCTTTAATTTAATTTAAGTAAAACCTTAATTAATTTCATATGAATATTTCAGAAAAACTTCCCCAGCCCTATCTTGAATCCAGGTGAAGTCTACGTCCACAGGATTCAATATAAATTCGGCCTCCTCATCGGCAAATATGTTTAAATTTGCGTAACCGTCTCGTGTTCAAATTACTGGTATATTATTAATTTCTTATTTTTTATTCCCTGGATAAATTTGTTGTACTTGTTAAGAATAAGAAAAAATAAATGTTGCTAGTAAATTAATGTGTAAAAAAATACTTTATTCTTTGGTTATAGGTAGCGCAACAAACATTAATAGCTCAGTCCAAAAATCACAATACTATATTATAAAATGATCTGTACTTATATAAAACAACAATAATGGTAAAAATATAAACAATAACAACACGATAAATTACTAGATATATTACGTATTCTTCTTGTACAACACACAGTTATCGTAAGATAAATCGTATTGAACTTTCATTCAAGACGATCTCTTACGATACAGCAAATTTAAGTACCACGAAGATTTATCGTTTTGAACTTTATTCAAGGCGACTACTTGTGGTACTTATTTCCGTTAACTGTCGACAGACATAGGTAACGCTCAACATCAAACAATGTACATGACATCTACAGTACGTAACAAGTAATCTCGAGATAGATGTCATTGTCTTTCTAGTGTTCAATAATATTGTAAATTTCTTCAAACCATTTATTTGAGTCGTACGGTAAAGCTAAATGTTTATAATGTCTAAAAAGATTACCATTTCTTTTTCGCGTGCAGAGATTCGATAGAATCTGAAAAAGCTGCTCTTCATTATCATACATTTCTTCAACTTCGTTCCCATACATTTCTATGTACGACAGCCGATTTGGAACAACAGGTATACAGCCGCAGTATACAGCTTCTAGTCTGCAAATTTAATAAGAAAAACTTGATCAATTTGTTTTGTTGCCCTACTACTATTGGACCCATTTATTTCAATATAACTTTCGTACAAAGTCAAATACAAAGTTTGCTAACAACAGAAGACTGAATGTAGGGCAAAGCAAAGAAACGAGGAGTCATTATGCTAAAGAAATAAATATTGATAAAAAAAGTTATTATATTTAAATGCTGTTTAGTACTTCTACAATATGCCATTACTTTTATTTGAGCAAAATACTTACACAGCGACTCCAAAGAACTCGTGTATTGCAGTAGAAACAACCACATCTGCATTTTGCAATATTCTATAATAATCAGCCACATTCTCAACAAATCCACAATGAACAAGTTCTGATTTGAGCCTGCGTGATATTTGTTTGAACACCTCTGGTTGATCACTGAATGATTCTCCTAAGATACTAATCTGAAATATTAAACAGAACCAGGCAACATTAAAACAAAATTTGATGGATGCGTGGACGTATTATAACCAACAACCTACCTTAAATTCATACCCAGCATCCTGTAGTTTACATAATGTCCTAAAAAATGTATCAGGATTCTTATCAAATTCCCATCGATGAGGCCAGACAATGTAAAGGTCGCCATATTCTTCTTTGGTTACTGTCGATAGATGAATGTCTATTGCATTTGTATTAAGGGGGTAATAAATTACTCTACATTTTGGTTGTATTATAGAGTGCATATTTTTCATTTTGTAGTCGGGTTGCATTTTTAAGTGACTATTTATCTTTGAGAGGAATGATTCTTGATTGTATAATGAATTAAATAGGATAGTATCGGCTGAAAGACTAAAAAAATATTTAGATACCTGTATTGAAGTATGACAACATTAATGACAGCTCAATGTACATTCAATTTACATGCATTTTATTTATGTTTCTCTCTCACAAGGAAAGGGTTAGTAGACCTCGTTTTTAAAGTTATAATATATTACCATTGTTAGTAGAGCAATGTGCAACTTGTAAGTACATAACTGCTTATTTGGTGGACTCTAAGATTACCAAAACTTATCTTCCTTTCGTAATGTTAGTAGACACAATACACCGCATTTTATATCTCACCAAGTTAAAATTTCATTGAATCCATATTGGAAATCTCTTTCTTTAATGACTTGAACTGGAAAATTCAACTGGTTTTCATGGAAATATACAATTTTCTGCAGTTTCATTAGATCTGGTCTCAACCCAAGCAGTTCTGCGAGTGGTAGTACAGATGTACAAAATAAAGCTTTATAATTATGCTCTTCGGGAACTTTTACCGATATGTACAATGCAGATGTTCTTGCACGCCAGTGCCATTTTTTGGCTGTCATGGTAATAAGGGTGTATGAATATTTTGGGAGATCTGAAATGTAAACATTCATATCGAGTTCTTGGGTTTTCGCGATTGTTACACATAAGAAATGAAACTATTTTTTCGATTTAAATCGTGTTAAAAAGTCACCCGTGACCATGGGAAGGGCCCGAAACGTTGGTTTGTTTGAAAAAATAAATGTACGTGATTTAAATTCGAAAAATAGTTTCATTTCCCACGTAAACATTGATTTTGATGAATCTACAAAGTAAACATTTTTTGTTTTTATGTGCAATGGCCATTGCCTGTACAAGACATCATTAATGATAAATAATACCCACAGACATATTGTCTATGATAATATCTAAATACCTACATATTGCCACTAAGCCCTGTATCTATATTTGTTTTGGGTGATCCATCTCATACTCCTTTAAAAATGTGGATTATCACTCTACTTCATGAACATTTGAGATTTACTATTTGAAATCAGAGATAAAAAGCTACTTCTTTTATACTACTGTATAATAAAACCCTGATTAGCATAGATTGAATATGGGCGGACACGCCTCCATCTTTCAAGCAGAAATGTACGTCATAATTCCTTGTGCTGATTTGGACCTGAAGAGACTATGTTAACAAATACATACATAAACTCAGATAGTCAAGCGACTCTACATGAACTAGCCTCAGGTACACAAACATCGAGGATTGTAGAGAACTGTGTAACTATACTGAATACTCTCCAAGCAAAGATGTGTGATGAGTTAGTTATTGATTCTGTTACTCATCATCCTAACAGAAAATATATTGACATCATATACAAAAAAGATATTTTGCCACATACTTTGGCTAACAGCAATGTCATAACACAGGGTTGTTAAAATTGATAAGCTGTGTCTATGAATATTTGAGAGTTTGTAAATAATAATTCTTATTTTTATTTTAGATTCTCGCTTCTCCCAAGGCCTAAAACGTTAATTTTGAATTTCTAAATGGGAGAGGCGCCATCTCCAAAAATGCCACAGGTGGACGGGGTCAGGGACTCAGGTTCAGGAACAAGAACATGAAATTATTATTAGGGTGGCTTCATTCAGGGCCTATTCAGCCTCTTATTACTGCGACTACCAACTGATCTATTGTGATCACCACTAATTACAGTTCAGACCAAAGGCCAACAGCATTAAAGAATTGAAGGACTTTCCTGCCTATTGACAGTTTTTATGTCCTTTGGTTGTGGTCTGTGCCTTCCTAGTATAGAATTTCATATGCCTGTTAGAGGGCTGTCAATACTGGGTGAGCAGATGCAAAGGAGTTTCATTCTCCTTATGGCAGCAGCTCTTTATTTTCTTGTTGCCTAATTTTTGACAAGTGCTTGTTCAAGCCACAATGCTTCGTTGAGGCTCTAGTCAGCATTCTGATGCCATTCCTGTCCAGTGACAGACCTTCTCTACAATGTTTGGCACTGTAGGCAGTTATCAGGACTTGAATGCTCAAGGTCCTTGCTTTGTAGCCACACTTCTCGGGAGATGTGTGTGAGTCTTGGGACAATCTCAATGTCTGGAAGAGCCAACTAAACCTGTACATGCAAGTACTGGCCAGTAGGAGGCCTCCCTCTGTATGAATATATGCAGGGAATCTGATTCAGCAGGGCCACCCCAGGTTCAAATAATAAGTAGCAAATTTATTAATGATTACTTTTCCTGATTATAGACAAAGGACTGGCAAGGAATTTCATCATGAACCCAGATTGTCTCAATTATGTCTTCTCTGTAGTGAGAGGCAGCCTTATATACATACATACAGTGTTTGTATATGTATAAATATACATGTCTTTGTCTACCCCTTTTCGCAATGTGATAGGCAGAGCCCTCAAGAACAAGTTGTAGTCTAAATTATATGAAAAAGTATTACATTTGTAAGTAGTATAAGCTATTATTTCTATGAATTTTTATACATATACATTCATACACTTCTACTACGGTACAAGTCTTTGTCTACTCCCTTTCGCATTGGGGTAGGTAGAGCCATCGAGAGTAAATAGTAGTCTTAAATATATGAAAAATTGTACATTTGTAAGTAATACTTGCAATTTTTTCCATAAACTCAATTATTGTCGTAAGTTATGAACAATGGCACGGAAATGTAAGATATTAAAATAAAATAAATACTTACTTGCACATATAATATCAATCAGCTTCTTGTGAGATCCTCCATAAAACGGTTCTATAATGAGCAATTTTTCTTGACCCTTTTTGTAATTCATGCCCAGAGTTTATTTTTAAACTTTTGTCTATCCTCAGAATCGCGAGCGAATATTAGTATTTGTCATTTTTTCTCTCTTGTTTTTTTTACAACAAATTACACTACATTACAAATCTGGTCCTTTGTAGTTAGACCGTGGAAGCAAATGGAAGCAAAGTTTTATAGAATCAATACTACCAGTCTATCCCGTAAATCAATAATACCGCGCACATACCGCGCGCGCTCCCTGACCTACATACAACCCGGCTAATCCACAGACAAGCAAGAGACAAGAAAGAGAGCTGAACTTTTAAACAGACTTGGACAACTTGCTATTCTGCTTCTTAGTTTGTTAGAGCATTTATGCTACTGTTAGTAATTTTCCAGAAGTTCTGAAAAATTGGAAATATAATTTGAAAGCTCATATTACGTTGTTCCTTTAGAAATATCTTTTGAAATTGTATTTAGCGTGAATTATAAAATAAAATTGTGTAAATAGAAGCAAATTAGTGAAAAACGAGATTTAAAATAATTGGACATCAGCGAAAAAACCTTTTGAGTCCATTGTTTTTGTTCAGTAACTTTTAACATTTAAAATGTGGAAAAATATTGAAAACAAAAAAATTTTTTTTTTTTAAACATCATGCAAGAGATAGAAATAATTTCTGGAAAAGGGCGGGAAACTCGAAAGAAAAAGGCGCGTTTTTTAAAATATTATTTTCTGAAAACTATAAAATAATAGTTTGGATCATTGACTTACAAATAAATGGACGACGGGTCTAATACAAAAACCACGAAAAAAATGTCCCAAGTCAACCTATTCGAAATTTAAATTGTTATGTCATCGCAGTATCGCGCTGTCCGTAGAACAAATGAAGACTAAAGCGGAGTGTCGCGCTCTGTATACGATTTTAGCGCCTTACAAGTGCAGACACTTTTTAGCGCGGACCCGACGTCCATATGATTGTAAGTCAATGGTTTGGATAGTTCAATTCCCGCATTATATATAAGTGTGATCGGCCAGTATGCCGAATCTAAAAAAAAAGAAAAAGGGAAGGAACACAGATTAGTTGCTAACGCATGAGATAGGGCACACCCATAGAGCAAAAATCGACACAATTTAGCCTCACATATCATACATGACAGTTTTTTTGTTTTTATAAATACGCAATACTTTTGACCATGGATACTTGCGTTTTGGCCTGGGGGTTAGTATATATTAAAAAATGTGTAAAAATAAATGTGGAATAAAAGGAAGTTGCTACAAAAAAGACAATATTTTTCTTATTATTTATTAATTTTCTTATTTTTTAACTTACTTTTATATTTATTAATTTATATTTTAATAAATATAAAAGTTATATATTTATTAATTTCATCCGAGGCATTTTTTTTGTAACCTAACAAACTGTGCCTTTTAAAATCTTATTAATAACTTGTAGCTCGGACATGGAAATTGAGTTGTCGTCCTGATTTCGTATACCCTTTGTAAAGTTTTGCAAAGTGTGGTGACAACTTTTTCCGTAAGGAGACAACTCGATGTCTTCTCTTCATTTTAGGAGTACAATGCACAACTTCATCTGTAAACAAAAAAAACAGTAAATCTATTTGTTCAAACACTAGTTAGTAATAAATATACGTTTCTTGGCTCAGGAAGTATTCCAGTATGTTAATCAAACAATCACACATAATTTTCACTTACTATTTATTGGTTTCCTCGTTACAACTTCATTCCATCAAGACATCTCGATGTAGAAGGCTTGTTTGAGTCTTCAGCATAAGTTCAAATTACAGCTGTTTCTGGAATTTAAACAGGTATTCAATTAAATTGGATGACATAGTTTTAAAATATAATAGTTTCGAATACAAATAATTTTCAATAAATAATAAGTTACCCTTTGAATGCCACTTGTACACCCAGGGTTACAGTTACACATGAAAAACTCAAGTAAAAAAGGAAATCAAATTCACATCAGAGTATTAAGCAGCAATCATATTGTAAAAGATATATATCATTTGCATGGTATGGTGAGGTGTAGTGGGTTACTTTTTGCAAGATATATTTATATTATTGTATATTTACATAAAGCACCATATTAAATTTATAAAATTTCATGTTTTTTGTCTGCAAATGGGCTTTTTAATTGAGAACAACTTAATCAATGTAGGTGATGCTTTATCACTTCACAGATTTGATCTCTTTAGGTATCAGTATCTGATTTGACAAACAAGCGAGCAGGACTGCCAGCTCGCTTTAATATTAATAAATGTATCACTTACCGGAGCCAGTTTTAGATTGTTTCTCTGGGACACACACAAACAATAAGTGTGAACAATATGTTTACGTTTATTACCATAACTAGGTTTAACATCCTCTGAAAAAAAAAACATAATCACAACTATGTTTTCATGTATCTTCAACAGTAGCAGCATGAGTATAAATATACCTGTGTGGTTTTTTTGACAACCACACCAAAGGGAGTTGTCTGTACTATAAGATTGATTCATTTTACCGGGAATCGAACCCGGGACCTTTCATCCAGCGCACACAATATAAACCGTTAGCCCATCGAGGTCGCAATATATTCCTTCGTCACATATTATCATTATAAATGATTATAAAGATTATTTTATATATTTACCTCTTGTATGGACCATCAAGGCACAAGATTGAGGAATACCACTGGATATCTCGCTATCAGAAAACAATGATGGATAGGCGTTGGGACAAAGACGGACTCTATCGCGTGTCGATGCGAAAGACCTTTCCTCAAAATGTTTACCACACACAAAGTGTTTGCGAAGTTCTTGGAAACTCAATATTCGCAATTTTTTACAGTTTAAACTCTGTAACCACTTTTGGAGTCCTATCTCACTTTTTGAAAGCATATGAAAACTGACGTCCTTCCGTGTACTAACACAATTCACAACACAGCACTTGTTGTACATGGTGCAAAAGATTATTACAGCTTTAAGATTGAGAGGACAAATTACGAAAATGAATCAACGCAAAACTTTACTCGATCAACTTCAAAACTGTAATGGCGGGCGCGTAGTTTCCAGCGGAAAGGTGGGGCGATGGAACTGTCACTTATGATATGTGAAGCACAGATAAAATCATAGACTTGAAGTTCAGATTTTTTGTTTGAAGATATCATGCCGCGGGAAGGAATGATGCTCCACCAAATGAAGGCTCCCTTTCCAGCAACAGTAGCAGCGACAGTGAAAGGAGTCTGTGGAGTATGTTACATTCAGGGCTCCTAACTACAAAAGGAAGTATGACCTAAACAGCAACATTAGTGAGTGTGTTGTATTCCTTCCGCATACAGATCAACAGGCTTCTATTACGGACAAAAGTAGAATGTCGATTTCCCAAGGTCTCAAAAAAAACTGAAACCAAAGGCATTAAGCATCATGGTGTACCTAATACAATAACATGTAATATAATAAAATAACAAGCATATTGGTGTAGCCATTTTAGTTCATAACAGTATTAGATACTCTCGCCTTCAGCCTTTTTCTGGTGATTCATTATAAAATATTTGTATACAAGTAACCATTAACAATAAATCATATATAATAGCTAGCTTATGTTGCCCCACTAACACAACTCCACATTTAAAATAAAAAGTGATGCATTTGTTAAATCATTACCAAAACCTGTTATCATTGCCGGTGATTTTATCGCTCACCACAGCGCGTTGGGCTGTACCACTATTAGTCCACGCGGTAGAGATATTCTAGTGTTGTAGTAGATGATAATAATTTGATTATATTAAACAATGGAAATCCTACCACAGTTGGCACAAATAGATGGCGGCCTAATGCTCTTAATTTAACCATAGTATCTCCATCTTTTGCTCTAATTTCCGTGTGGAATGTTCACGATGACTCGCTCGGAAGTTATCACTTGCCTGTAATCACAAATACCACATTTCAGAATAACAATAACATTCAAAACAATGTTTTAGGTACACCTGTAAATAAACGCCCTAACTATAAACTTGTAAATAGGGAAATATACATACAGTAATACAGTTAATGAGTTATTTAAAAAATTTGAGGCAGACTCTTTAACGCCTAAAGAATTTTATGATAATCTATGTAATATATTCCACTTAGCTATAATTAAATCCCTCCCAACAAATTACAATGTCAATAATAATAAAAACACTTATAGAGATAGAAAGAATCTCTTTCATGGGGGAATGAAAAATGCTCTTTGGCAGTACAAAATTCAAAAAATGCATATGTAAACTTCAAACATAACCCTACAAAAGAAAATTTTATTAATTTTAAAAAAACTTCAGTCTAAAAAGAAACTTATCTTAAATCAGGAACGTCGTAACAGCTGGGTCATTTTATATGAAACTTTTACTCGCAGCACTCCATTAAGTATTATCTGGAAACAAATGAGGACATTTAATAAAACATATGTTCCTAAAAACAAAGGTGGTTCTTATAATAGTAACTGGGTTCCAGAATTTTTGAATAAATACACTCCTAATAATGTTTCTGACAACCCAAAAAATATGCCCCAAAACTTAGATCAGACCAATTTTTTTCTCTTGGAACCCTTCACAATACAGGAATTAAAGTCAGCTCTCTATTCCCGACGTGATACAGCATATGGTCTTAAAATAATGCTTTAATTATTTATGGTTAAATAATTTTATTCCATCAGACTGGAAGAAAGATTGTTTAGTTCCTGTTTTCAAACATGGCAAAATTGAACATGAGCCTGACACTTATCATCCCATAGCCCTAACCTCTTGTATAGGTAAAATCTTTGAACAGCTGGTAGATAACGTTTAGAATTTTTTGTAGAGGGGAATGGTATACTACCTAATAATCAATTCGACTTTTGAAGAAACAGATGTTCAGCTAGACATTTACAATGCTGTCTCTTGTAAAACAAACTAGTATGTATCTTCTTTGACATAGTTGGTGCATTTAACAATGTAAATCTTGCTATACTTTCAAATTAACTGATCGCCTTTGGTTTAACTGGAAAATTAATTAATTGGATATACACTTTTCTTAATGGCAGGGAAGCTCATGTCAAATAAAATAATGGTCAAGGCAGTATTCTGAGTCCACTGATATTTTTATTGTATATAAACAGAATTACCACTGAATTAGGACCAAATGTAAATACTCTACTATATGCTGATGACCTAGCTGCTTATTGTTCAGGACCTGATCTAAGTGCAATTAAATTAAAATTGAGTTTTGCCCTTATAAACTTAAAAAAGTATTTTGAATACCTTAAGTAAAGTCGTAGTATTTGGTACTCAAATAATTAATGATTTTAATATTATGTACAAAAATTAAGCAATCATTTGCTCAACAGAAGCCAAATTTTTAGGGATTATTTTCACTAGCAATCTGTCTTGGCAATCATATGTCAACTATATAATATTAAAATGCAGTAAGGCTTTTTTTAAATGCTTTAAAAATTTTGGCAGGAACATACTGAGGAGCTGATCCATTGATATTGTTAATTCTGTATAAATCTTTAATTAAGAGTCATTTTGAGTATGGCTATCTTTGTTTTTCTTCTGAACCCAACTTAAAACTTAATTGATAAATTAGATAAAATTCAATATGCAAACTTATGACTCATTACTGGAGCATTCAGGACATCTCCAATAGCTTCATTGCAGCTGGAGTGTAACATGCCTCCACTGAAAATAAGATTTAAATTATTTAAATTTAAATTCCTTCTAAAGCTCTCCTCAATTAGTGACAATTCCCTAATTTCTAAAATAAAGAAAACAATTCCCACTTTATCTAGCTACACTAAATTTCTGTTTATTTTAAAAGATTATTCTGATTTGGCACAAATTACTCAATGCACTATTTATCAAAGTGAGCTATGGCCCTGCAAGTTGAGCCCATAATTTATAAAACCAAGCATACCTGGGGGCCAATCGCGCTATTTTCGCAAGGTTTAACCGTACAACATTTGAGGTTATGGTTTTGGTTAATTAATGGTTCTACCGACGCACAAAATGCAATCGCGCTATCAGTTTTAATGAACCTAAACCTCAGTTAAACCTCAAACTATAACCTCGTATTAAATTTTAAGAGAAGTGCCTTGACTTCCTAAAACCGACTAAATTTTACCGTAAAACGCACTGAAATGTCAATATCTACGAATTCAAGTCTATAAAAGAGCGATTTAAAAAAGTGTGTAAAAGAAATGTCATTAAATTCTATTGTAAACAAACATATGAGTTGTCATTTGAACCAAATTAATTGAATTTAGTGTGTTGTTGTTGTAGATAAAACACACAGAGGTAAGTACCTACACATTGTTTTCCTGTTTTAATATTCTATTTAATAAAATAGTATCTTTTTATACAATCAAATAGGTACGCTAACTACTATTAATTTCGAAATGTTAGCAATGTAGAATTAATAATGATGCTCGTATTTCAGCCAATGTGGATGCGGTCGGACGGCGAGCGACCACTGTAAGCCAGCTCCATCTTTGCTGGAGTTCGAATCGCACAGAGATTTAGCTTGAGAATGACTTCGCTCGGCGTTGTTCGCGCGTGTTATCAGCACGCCTTTGGTGCGAGTGTGTGGCTATTTTGTGGCCCCGCAATAGATCCCAAAAGGTGAGTCATAATGAGAGGTAATAGGATACAGTGAATGGATCACTCACCCTTATTGTACCAGAACTCATATCACTATAACATGCAATGTTATTATTTGTTATTCAGATATGGAATGGTATGAAAAGCAGGGTGAGAATCTACGCCACATCGACTGCGGCAGAGGACCTACCAACCTTCCTAAAGGACACCAACTCTAGCACTAAGTAACTAAATAACTTCAAACATACAATTCCATAACAAAGTAACTTTCTCACTCTTTATTATTAATTAAAAAACAAAGTAACTTTCAATTTGAGCAAATTCTTTCCCACTCTTTATTACATCACATCTATTATTTCGTTGGCAGCGAGCTGATGAGCGTTGGAGCAGAGCCGGGTAGAATTCTTATGCATTGAGAAGCTGCGAGCATGCGAAGCATTCTTGCAGCAAGTGAATGCTGGCAGGGTGCAGGCTGAGGCAGCTATTATTTCTGTCAAAACAGATGATCTGCATGCCCAATCCGTAGCTGCTATTTGCAAAGCAATTACCGAGTTGGTGCCTGCAGTTAATCTTTTTGATAGAATATTTAACAAGAATGACAGGTTTGTTTTCAACATGTTTTCTTAATTCCTGCTGATGATATGTTCAATTGTGGAAATCTGAAAGAGCGTAAGGAACGAAGGTCTAATCTGTAGACTTTTGTCCCCTTTATATTTCCACAGTGATATAAACATTTTTTTAAATGTATTTTGAAAAGGCCCCTAAACATTCTGGCGTTTATGTTGGCTTCATACTGTATGTATATAAATACCCATCCTGCTTTATCTGTCACTACTCTCATGAGAGGTATGGCACAGTCTTAAATTTAGGTCTCCAATCTTCCTATATACATATTTTTGTTTCAGACTTCTTTGAAGAATCAAAAGCAAGCTCGCTCTGGAAATGAAGGATCATTTGGGGTAGATTGAGGCAATAAATAAACTAAAAATACACTCTTTTTTTTATTTCAACCTCTTAAAAGTATACATCAATTTAGATATTAAGTTAATAAACAATTACAATAGGTATACATCGTCATCTTAGAATGAATACCTCATATTTCTATGTAATTTTTTAGGATGAAGATAAAAATATGGTGTGAAGTATAGTAAATGCAATAATGTGTGTAGTTAGCATTTTAATTACTTAAATTATACCTCTTTTAGATACTATATTATTACATTATTAATTTTTATTCAACAAAAATCAGTAAAAACAAACTGAAAATGCATATGTGAGGCTTCACTGTAAGGGGACGATATGTTGTATAAAGTCAAGTGTTAAAAGAGATAAATTGTAACCTTGTAATATATTTTTATACAACTATACATATTTTACCTATATCTGTAATTTTAATTTGATAATAACAACAGGAAATAAGACAAGAACTAATAAATATGATGTACATTGTAAAGCTTATTTTCTCACCGCCTTTTAATATCATCTCTTTCGGCATGCCTTTTAGGAAAGCTGCATATTTATTCATAATACCTAACTGGTTTATTTGAAGCAGCTACTGCTTGTGCCTCTCTGACACTGGCTTGGGAAAGGGTGATAAGCACTTGCCAATGGGGGTCTAGTACGCCCCAGTTGTTAAAAACTATACGAGCTATTAAAATCTGTAACAAAATTAATAATGATTTACACAGTATAGAAATTTTGGTTATTATGCAAAACTGAGAACTTTCGGATTCCACTTAACCCTTACATTTGTCTCCACATCCAATGCAACAGACCGTCCTTTAACGAGAATATGTAGGCATAGTTCTTCCACCAATCCTGAAATGAATTCCGTGGACAAACGGTATATCGTTTGCGGAATTTCTCCTCAGACATGTTAAATGTGATCGTCTTTCTATGCTTTTCTTTTATTTAAAGCCCGTTCTTAGGCCACATCCACCTCATAAACACTTTCCAAAACATTTAAGTAACCGTGGAACATCTTTTATATACGATAAACGTAGTGAAAAGTTACTCTCAATTAACTGCCACACAAACCTTAACCTTTCCAAGGTTACTCTATTCCCCCAAGGTTACATGTGAGGTTAAAACGTCAAAATATTTAGCGCGATACCAATTTGCAACATTTTAGGTTTTGGTTTTACGTTTGACAATTAACGCGATACCAAATGTGCGTTACGTGTCACACGTCTAAGTTTTGGCTTAGGTTTTTGTTTTGACAGTTAGCGCGATACGAAATGTACACAACGTGTCAGATTGGCGAGGTTGGAGGTTTTGGTTAAACCTTTGACAATTAGCGCGATTGGCCCCCTGAGCTGAAGAAAATAGGCATTCATATTATTCTGATGTGGATTCCTGCCCACAAAGGTGTTCTTGGAAACGAGAAAACTGACTTCCATGCAAATCCGTTGCAAACTTTCAACTTCAACTTCAACTTTTGTATCTATGGCTCCGTCGCGTCGTTTTGTGCGACGATTTCGCCAACGTCAGGGTTGAAAGACATGTAGGGCGGTGGTGAGATAGATTGCCGGTTATTAAAATACTTCGGCGGTTATTATTCACATTGACGGTTATATATACATATTTTAATGACATTACAAAATTATAATTTGAGGGCTCATGTTATTTTCACTTCTTTTGGAAACATTTTAGGAAGTTTTATTTAGCGGGAAATTAAAAATAAAATCGTTTAGTAAAAGAAAGTTAGGCATCGTTTTCGTTCAGTAACAAACTTTTGACCGGGGTCAAGGTGGAAAATTATCATGAAGGATGGAAAAAGAAATAAAATTATACGAGAGATAATGGGAGAATACGGGAAGAATGAAGAATATTCATTTTTATAAAAAATTAAGACTGTTCAGAAATGGGAATTTTTTTCCGACTCATCATTAGTTGGGACAGAAAATTATGAAATGAATGTGGTCGGGCGGAGGTTATTCGGAGCTGGTTATAGATTTATGTTATTAAGATTTAGAAATTTGTTTAGAGTGAATACTGGTGGAGAGAGTGCGTTGGCTAGGAAATAGTTGATATTTATTGGGCGAGGAATATTTTCGGGAAGCAAATCGTAAAGTGGGAAGCTTATTGGGGGGCAGTTAAAAAATAAGTGTTCTAGAGTGCCTTCCTCTAGTCCACATTCGCAGAGGGAGTGATCACGTACTTTAATTTTAGCTAGGAAAACCGGGGAGCAAATGTGACCCAGTCTCAGCAGCCGGATAATCATTAATGAATAAGGTTTGTAGCGGAAGAACCAAGGTTTGCATGGTATATTTGGTTAGAGACAGCCAAAGTGTTTACCTTTTAGTAGGAGCGATTTTTGGAAAGTTTCGTCCCAGCTCCTGCACAATTTTGGTTTAGTCGAACAACGTAGATCTCGGGAGAAGCAGCCTAAGTGGTCCGGCAAGCCGGATGAGATAGCATCCTTTGCAAACCTATCAGCAGTTTCATTGCCGCC